TACCTATTTTTTCTTGGTATGCTTTTGAATCAGATGTCATATCTAAAACACTATTTGCTTAATCCAAAGATTTAAATCTATGTTTTCTTTTAAGCATAGCCATGATTTAAATTATATTAATCCATTTCTATAAAATCCAACATCTCATTCTAATTACAATTAATTTTCCTTCCAGTGCCTTCCCCCCTATAACTTGATGGCTCCAGATGTTCTCTTTAACTTCACTAAGCTGTCTGGAGGATCAGGAAAAATTCCTAGTGTCAATCTTACTAGATTGGTGGTAGAAGCATATTTGTTGAAATTCTGCCATCCATCTATTCTCTCTCTCAGATATCCTTAGGAATCTGGAATCACACTTTTGGACTACAGTTCCTATCTCCATCTTTTACTAAGATCCATGACTTTGAGTGAACCACTGATGTTTCTAGGCCTGTGATGCTCACAGTATGATCTGAGTATCAACAGCATCAGCATCACCTGGGAACTTGTGATAAATACAGATTCATGGACTCTACACATATCTACTGAATCAGAAACCAATGAGCCCAGAAATCTATGTATTAAAAAGCCATCCAGATGATTATGATATGAGTAGTGAGGGCCAACATATTTACTCAGATATAACAAAAGAATACTATCACCTCCTAAAAAACCCCAAACAATATGGTTTTTATTCCTTGTGTTATCCTCTTCATGACTCCCCACACTTTGAGAATCTTGGGGATCCCCATTTCTCCTTAGCATTCACTATGCAATTCCAGCATTTCAACTTGAATAATTCCAGGTCCTTCTGCTCCTGGTAAGGAAAATCTCAACAGGATAATAGGAAATGTCCTCATACTCTACAGCTTCCAGAAAAGCAAATAATTACCAGTCTCAGGAAAGGATCCATTCACGTGTTGTGCCAATAGTGGAACCTCAGGAGACATTTGGTCATGAGAGGTCCATGTTGTTTTCCAGTGTATGTTACCCTTGATCTCTGAACGTCCTCTAACTTTGACGTTCTGACCTCTCTGCCTCAGAATGACCAGGCTATTTATACGTGCATCTTCTCTAGGGTGTCAGTACTTGTGACTCTTCAATGTGAATAAGAAAGGCTAGCATTAGCACTTCCCTCTTTTGTAACTGCTTGAGGTAAAATAAATTATAATAACTGCTGATTTTATGTATAAGACAAGCGCAAGAGTCCTTGATCATTAACATTAGCTAAAGGTACTGGAAATCAGCAGTGGCAGCTGCAGTCATTCTACAGAAGGCCACAATGTGGACTGTCAGGAAGGTGAGACAAGCTTTCCGAGTCTCAGCCAGGTACTCAAGAGTTGTCTCTCCTGGTTTTCAAATGATAGTGCAGAATAATAAAAGTGATTATGTGCAGTCTCCAGCTTGGCCAAAAAGAAAATTGATTCTTCTGCAGTTGAAATGAGGATCTCACCCAATGGGAACTAAGAGATGCAAAGTGGGAAATACAGGGAGTTTCCAGAACTGAGGGTGACTCCTGGCTTTCTAATGCTAAAGTTGTAGTTAGAGACACTGTCCACCCCTTCTTAGTTGTGGTCAACATCACAAATGCCAAAGGAGAGCAATGTTCTTTGGAGGGTGCTATACACTGAATTTTGTTCTTCAAAATTCTCATGATGAAGCCATAACTTCCAATGTGACTGTATTTTGGAGATAGGGCTTTTGAGAGGTAATTAAAGTTAAATGAGGTCATAAATGAGAGATCCTAATCTGATAGGATTGGTGGCCTTATAAGAGGAAGATCTCTGTTTCTGCCTCTCTCTTTCTCCCCCTCTCTCATTGTCATGTACCTAGGAAAGGTCACATGAGGACACAGCAAGAAGGCAGCCATGTGCAAGCCTGGAAGAGAGCTGTCACCAGACACCAACCATGCTGGCACCTTGATCTTGAACTTTCCTGTCACCAGAACTATTAGAAAACCAATTTCTGTTGTTTAAGCCACCCAGTCTATGGTCTTTTGCTATAACAACTCAAGATAAGATAGAGGAGATATTGACTATATAGGACGCAATGAAGCTACTCTTTTCATTGCCTCCATGGGCCACTAAGTACTTTTATGAATCTCAGATAGGGAAAGACTCCCAGGTGAAATTAAATAAAAATATTAAGCCATACTGTAAAGATTTAAGTGTTCAACACTTTTTAATAGGCACAGTTATAGTATTAATACAATGTTAAACACATTGATGTTAACAATGTATTATTTCTATGGGATGAGGGTAGAGGTATAGAAATAACCAGTATTCCCAGGAAAAGTATTACAACTATAATAATAACTACTGTATTTTAACTAAAGTATAATTACATACAACACTAACCAAGACTGTGAGTGATCACACTAATGATGTCCTTTGAGGTGCAGCACTGCATGGGAGTTAATATAATGGACTCAGTAGTCAGCTAGCCTGGGTTTGAAACCCCCTGTGCCATTTACTAGCTTTCTAATCTTAGATAAGTTCCTTTACCCCTCTGTGACTCAGATTCTTCATGTATAAAACGGGAATGATGATTGGACTCATCTCAAGTGTTGTGTAGATTGAATGAGTTTATAAAGAGCCTAGAACAGGGCCTGGTGCACATTAAACACTTACTAAAATTTGCTGTCATAATCCTCCTCCTCCTCTTATTAGAACTGTGGCCTGGGTTCTATGTTATTTAAGCCTCACAGAGACTTCGTAATATGTGTGTTATTTCTCTCTGGTTTTAAGATTGTCATCATTCCTAATAGTCGTGTCAGCTGCAATGATAATATCAACATAAATGCAAGTAATCACAATGTCAGTGTGGTAGCCAGCCTCCAAGATTGCCCTCGGTAAGTCTCACCTCCTGGTATTCAAACTACTATGTAGTCTTCTTTCACATTCAATAGCATTGACCAGTGTAACCATCCAGCCACAATGTTGTGAATACACTCAAGTAGCTCTATGGTGGGGTCCATGTGATGAGAAATTTGAGGCCCTCGACCTTCTGCTAATAATCATGCGTGTGAGCTTGGAATAAGATCCTACTTGCCCCAGTCAGTCTTCAGATTGCAACTCTGGCCAACATCTTGACTGCAACCTCACGAGTTTCAGAGCCAGAAACAGCTAGCTAAACTGTTCCTAGATTTCTGACCCTCAGAAATTGTGTGAGAGAATAAGTGTTTACTGTTTTAAGCCACTAAGTTTTGATTAATTTGTTACATAACAATAAATAATTAATGTATTGCCTTAGTCTGTTTGGGCTTCTATAACAAAATACCTCCAGGCCTCATGATGCTGAATGATCCAATAGAGAAGGGATATGAAAAACAGCAACAAAACAATATTTACTATCATGTCAGATGGTGGAACTTGTAACACAAAGAGTACAAAATAAGTCACCAAGAAGTGACCCCAAGAGCTCTGTTACTTCAGATACAATAGTGAGGACAGAATGGGGTTGGGAGATCTTCACAGAGGGGGAGAGGACAGCAAGGTACACGGGCACTGGGGAAGCAGAGTATTCTCAGAGACCAGAGTTGGTGCAAAGACTCAAAGCCAGAGCAAGCTCTCTTAATGTTAAAACAGCTGGAATTGGGACTGCTGACAAATAATAAAAATGATGACCACTTACACCTGAAGGGTTTCTGGGCCCTATGATCCTTTTTATTATAGTTATAACTTCACACTATGAACATTTAAATGCACATCTGTGAAAACAGAAATAACTAAAATGTTATGTGAAAGTTTGATATATAAAATACAAATACTATATAATCCAATATGTAATCATACGCACTATATATTATATAAAATGTAAACTATTTTATTGTAGTAAGAAATATACAATTACAAAATGCTATATAATATACTATAAATATACAATATTACTACAGTATATTGATGTGCTCATATAAAATTATTATGTAAACCTATATTTATAATCTAGTACCTAACAATCTTTTATCTGATGTAATTTATCATATGGTAAAATATAAAATACTTTTGAGATTCTTCCATGTTGTAGCCAGTGTCAATAAATCATTTCTTTCTGAATAGTATTTCATGTAATAATTCATCCACTGATGTATATTTGGGTTGTTTTCAATTTTTTGGGCAATTATACAGGTGCTGTGAACATTTGAGTACAGGTTTTTGGTTGAACCTAATTTTTCATTTTTCTATAGTAATGAAAGTAGTCAGACTGCTGGGTCATGTGGTTAACTGTGTAAGAAGCTGCCAAACTTTTGTCCAGAGTGGGTACACCATTTGACACTCCTGCCAGCAATGTCCAAAAGATTCCATTGCTCTGCATCCTCACCAAGTCTTGATACTATCATTTTTTTTTCTTACCATTTAAAAAGCTGTGTAGTAGTATCTCTTTGTGGTTTCAATTTGCATTTTTCTGATAATTAATGATTTTGAGCCTTATTTTTTATCACCTTATTTTCCATTTCTATCTCATACAAGTTTATGGATGAAATCTCAAATACATCACATTAAATGAAAGAAGTCAGATTCAAAAGGATATACATACACACTCAGTATGACTCCATTTATATAACATTTTGGAAAATGTAAAACTGTAGAGACAGAAAACAGACTAGTTTCCATTGCCAGGGACTGGAAGTGGGGAAAGCAAATGTCTAACAAGGGATAGGAGGGAATTTTGGGGAGTGAGGGAACTGCTCTCTCTCTTGATTGTGGTGTTGATTGCATGATTGTATGTATTTGTCAAAACTCTCAGCTGTACACTAAAAACAATGAATATTACTTTATGTAAATTATACCTCAATAAAAATTCATTTATGCTCGCACAAAAACCTGCACAGACATTTATTGCAGCTGTCCTCATAATTGAAAAAACTTGGAAGCAACAAAGATTTTTTTCAGTATGGTTGATTGTGGTGTTGATTGCATGATTGTATGTATTTGTCAAAACTCTCAGCTGTACACTAAAAACAATGAATATTACTTTATGTAAATTATACCCCAATAAAAATTCATTTATGCTCGCACAAAAACCTGCACAGACGTTTATTGCAGCTGTCCTCATAATTGAAAAAACTTGGAAGCAACAAAGATTTTTTTCAGTATGTAAATGCATAAATAAATTGGTATATCTAGACAATGGAAAGCAGTGCTAAAAGGAAACTATCAAGCTATGAAATGACATGGAAAAAACTTTAATGCATATTGCGAAGTGAAAGAATCTAATCTAAAAACACTACATACTGTATGATTCCAACAATATGACATTCTTGATAAGGCAAAACTATGGAGACAGTAAAAAGTTGCCAGGGGTTAAGTGGGGAGGAAAGGATGAATAGGCAGAACACAGAAGATATTTAGCAACGAAATTACTCTGTATGCTACTATAAAATTGGATACATGTCATTTGTCAACCCTCTGTATCCACATATTAAAACAGTAAAAAATAATAGAAATTGAAAAACAATACAGCGTAAAAACAACTTACACAGCATTTACATTGTATAGGGTATTATAATTTAGAAATGATTGAAAGTACATGGGGGATGTTTGCATGATTGAAAGTACACAGGGGATGTAGATATATCTAAGCTATGACATTTTATATAAGGGATTTGAGCATCTGTGGATTTTGGTATCTGTGTGGTTTCTGGAACCAATCCCCTAAGGATACTGAGAGATGACTGTATTCATTTGTCCCAATCCTTAGAATGTAAACAATGGACTTTGGGTGATAATGAGTGTCAATGTAGATTCATCAGTTGTAACAAATGTACCACTCTGGTGGGGGATGTTGATAATGGGGGAGGCTTTGCATATGTTGGGGTAGGTGATACATAGAAAATCTCTGTACCTTCCTCCCAATTTTACTGTGAACCTAAAACTGCTCTAAAAAATAAAGTTATATATATGTGTGTGTGCATATATATACACACACAGCAGTACTACACACATGTCAGTACTATAATATTAATACTATCACAACAAATAAAAAACAAAAAAGTAATTTACAATAAAATGTGTCTCACTCTATGAGGCTTGGACATGCAGAGGATGGTCATATGCTTTTGTTGACTTATAACTAACAATATTACAAACAGAATACCCTCATTGGGATCTGCCATCCATGCTCCCATCAAATGACCCATATGAAGTCACTTCACTCTCCCATAATTCCATTTCACAGGTGACGCAATTGAGTCCTGGAGGAGTTGCTGGAAAGGCCCAGTGGATTGGTGGCACCAGGATTTGAACCCATGTAAACAGCTTTCAGTGTTCTGCTTGTGTCACTTCTTGTGTAGTAAATAGGAAGGAAGCTCAGCTTGTGGTTTCGTAGGGTCCTAAGATCCTCCCTGATCTGTCACAGGTTGCTAATTCCCCTGTGCCTTGTGAGGTACTCAGAGGCAGGGGTCTATGAGGCTGTTATGTCACCCTCATCACCACACCCTATGGCTCCAATCCATACATAGAGAAGCAGTGCTAGGGAATTTATAGTAGCCCAGAGTGACTGAGGGGCCTCATGAAGCAATGCAGGCAATAGGGAATCAGCAGACATTGTGTTAGTGGAAGCCCACGGGGAATCACCAGATACCACCAGGATTTAATGGAGAGGTCACAGATACTGTGTTACTGGTTAAAGGGCATCAATGAACACTGTGCTTGTTGATAATGGGGGTCCTAGTAATAAAGGAGTAGTGAACGCTCCAAAATCCAGATGGGAAATGTGGAAATTACCAGTCATTGCCCTTACTGGAGAGGAAGTAGGCAGGTTAACAGCATGCACCATATTGGGGGCATCACCATATGATATCTTGGGGATAGTTAAATGGAGATAATTGGTCATCGCTGTGATGAATAAATAAATTAAGGAAGATCACAAGATATCCTTCTTGATGACAGACATGGGTCTAGGCACATAGTGGTGATGAAAACAGGGAAAAACATTTTATGAACAAACAAGCAAAATATGCAGGGCATTATCATGGTGGTAAGTGCTGTGTAGAAAAGCCAAGTAGGCAGGGAAGACTGTGAAGAGGTGTTACTGGAGAAAAAATATGAGGGAGCAAGCCACATAGATATCATGAAAAACTGTGCTCTTTGCAGAAGGCACTGAAAATGCAAAGGCCCTCAGGCAGGAAATGAAATGATGCTTTTGAAGCACATGGAAGAAAAGGTCTTTGGAGAGTGCATGGTATAAAGACGGATACACAGCAGACAGTGAACATGTTGGGGTTTGTTTTAATATGAGTTAGTGATTAGTTATGAAAGTAGGTCATTAAGGAAGACAAACAAGCTGAAAGAACTGTGACAGCAGAAGGGAGACAAATTGACCCAGATGACCTAAAAATTCTTACTCACAAGCTTTCCTGAGGGTAGTGCAAGTTCACAGGACTCTATGCTAGGGACAAAAGACTATGTGCTGAAAGCTTGTGAGAATCAAAGATGCTATTAGTGGCAAATGAAAAGGGTTACGAGTTATGGAAACAGACAGTAATGGGGACTCAATATACATAAGTCTGTCAGTATACATAAGAAACATTTCTTACTGTAGTAACTGTCTTGACAAAAATACTCAGTGGAGGACTGGATATGTACAACTGTTAGATTCAACAGAAGAATGAAAAAACACTCACAGTTCTGTTAGACCATGTATTATGCAAAAACAATTCACAGAATTCAGGATTTGTACTATTGTATACATGATGTTGTTTTACCATTCAATTTGTTGGCACTGTACCTATTCCACAGCAAACAAAATTATCATCTACACGACTTAACATAATCTTTCCTATGAAGAATTGGTAACAGTGTTTTATCATATCTTTCATGACAAGGCTTCTTCATAAAGCATCTTCTTGTATCAGGTTGACTCAGTTCATGCTCAGGATAAAGGCCCCAAAGATTAATGAAGCTGTTTACGATGTGGGAAAGGTCTCCTGACTCATTCAGTGCCTTCGCAGAGGTCCTCTTCTGAAAAGTAATGTGTGACATTCTGATGTAGACCTTTCTACTTACAATAATATACATCTGCAGTATGGATTCAATAATGTACAATCAGAACTGTCCTCAGTGATGTTTTTTTCACAGTTTCTCACAAGTGTGAATACTCTGATGCACATTGAGCACTGATTTCTGAACAAAGCCTTTCCCACAGACTGCACACTTGTAGGGTTTGTCTCCAGTGTGTGTTGTCCGGTGTTTATTCAAATTTGACCTGTCGGTGAAGGCCTTCCCACACTCAGCACACACATAAGGTTTCTCTCCTGTGTGAATTCGCTGATGCACTTGGAGCTGTGATTTCTTAGTGAAAGACTTCCCACAGTCACTGCATTCATAAGGTTTCTCTCCAGTATGAATTCTATGATGTATAATCAACTCTGACTTCTGTCTGAAGGTCTTACCACATTCAGAACAAATATAGGGCTTTTCCCCAGTATGAGTTTTCTGGTGTTTACTCAGATTTGACCTGCCACTAAAACCTTTCCCACACTCAGCACACACATAAGGTTTCTCTCCTGTGTGAATTGGCTGATGCACCAGAAGCTGAGACTTGGAGGTGAACAACTTCCCACAATGACTGCATTCGTAAGGTTTCTCTCCAGTATGAATTCTCTGATGAGTAATAAAGTTTGACTTCCGGATGAAGGCTCTTCCGCACTCAGTACATACATAGGGTTTCTCTCCTGTATGAATTTTCTGATGCACAATGAGGATTGATTTCTGGTTGAAGGCTTTCCCACATTCATGGCATTCATATTGTCTCTCTCCAGTATGGATTTTCTGGTGTATATTGAGGTGTGACTTCTGGGTGAAGGCTTTCCCACAGTCACTGCATTCATACGGTTTCTCTCCAGTATGAATTCTCTGATGTGTAATCAAGTCTGACTTCTGAGTGAAGGCCTTTGCACATATAGAACATACATAGGATTTCTCTCCTGTGTGAGTTTTCTGATGAGTAATAAGATTTGACCTGTTGGTGAATGCTTTCCCACATTTACTGCACATGTAGGGTTTTTCTCCTGTGTGAATACGCTTATGCACATGGAGTTGTGACTTGGAAGTAAAGAATTTCTCACAGTGACCACATTTATAAGGTTTCTCTCCAGTATGAATTATTTGATGTGCAATCAAGTGTGCCCTCCGGATGAAAGCCAGCCCACATTTTATGCATACATATGATTTTTCTCCTGTATGAATTCTCTGGTGCACCGTGAGTGCTGACTTCTGAGTGAAGGCTTTTCCACAGTCACTGCATTCATAAGGTTTCTCTCCAGTGTGAATTCTCTGATGTATAATCAACTCTGACCTGTACATAAAGGCCTTCCCACATTCAGAACATATGGAAGATTTCTCTCTAATTTGAACTTTCTTATGTGTAATGAGGTTGGAACTACTGTTGAAGTCCTTTCCATACTCACTGCATGTATAGTGCTTCACTCTTGTGTGAATTCGTTGATGTACTTGGAGTTGTGACTTGGAAATGAAGGATTTCCCACAGATACTGCATTCATATGGTTTTTCTCCAGTATGAATTCTCTGATGAGCAATCAAATGTGTCTTCTGAATGAAGGCTTGTCCACATTCAATACACACATAGGATCTGTCACCTGTATGAATTTTCTGATGCATCTTGAGTGTGGACTTTTGTGTGAATGCTTTGCCACAGTCACTGCATTCATGGTGTCTCTCTCCAGTATGAATTTTCTGATGTATACTGAGATCAGAGTTATAAGAGAAGCCTTTCCCACATTCACTGCATTCATAGAGTTTTTCTCCAGTATGAATTCTCTGATGCCTGAAGAGAGAAGATACTTGGAAAAAGAATTTTCCACATTCATTGCATTTATAGGGCTTCTCTCTACTATGGGTTTTCTGATGTGCAATAAATTCTGGTTTCTGTACAAAGGCCTTCCCACATTCAATACATACATAGAGTTTTTCTCCTGTATGAACTTTGAGATGTACCTTGAGCTGTGATTTCTGGGTGAAGATCTTTCCAGGATCAGTACATTCATAGGATTTCTCCCCCATATGAATTTTCTGATGTTGAGAGGGTGCTTGTTTATAACTGAGGATTTTTCCACATTGATTATGATCCCATAATTTCTCTCCTGTTGGAGAACACTCATGGTCAGAATAGGAAGGAATTTTATCATATTCAGTAATCTTTTTAACATTTTTTGATATATTATTTCTATTATGACTATGTAAATATAAATTATGCTTCAAACCATTTCCAAATGAGTCCCTTTGATGGGGTCATTTGGGGGAAGGAATAAAGTTTGGGTTCACATGAATTATTTCCCTAATGTCCTTATATTCATAATGACACTTTGTAGTCAATATTTTCTGGATGAAAGCAATATCACTTTAAGACTTACCTTCTCTTTGCTGATAGCTCTCTATCTGGTCACCAGTATGCCTCAATTCTTCTAGAATGATATACAATGAAACAGCAGCATTTTCATCACCTTCCCTCTCAATGTGGAAAGAAGCTGTTTCATAAATTCCTTGACATAAGGTTTGAAACCCAAACTGCTCTTCTCAAAGGAGAAACAGGTGATGTTACCTCAAAGAACAGCTAGCAAAGTCTACAGGGGAGGGTACATTTGGGTCATCCAGATTGAATGCAGAGAACAGGGTGAGGGTGAGTAATTTGATGAGGAGTGTGGTGACAGTGTTGATAGGAAACATTCTGGGACACAATTCAGCAGTTAGAAGAAATAAACTACATGAGCAAATTGCACCATGGATTGATGTGGAAAAAGTAAGGCAAAGAACAGTAACACTTATATAAAATAATGATATAGGGCTGGCTGGTTAGCTCAGTTTGTTAGAGCACAGTGTTATAACACCAAGGTCAATGGTTCATATCTCAGTACCAGCCAGTTGCAAAAAAAAAAAAAGATACATACTCCTAATTCACTTCAAATTTTACAAAAAACACGAATTAAAAAATGTTTCCATCATATAAAAAGTGGCCTATGGGGGGAAGGGAAACGAGTTTGGGTAAAAGAGAAAAAAGGGTTAAATAAAAAATAAAATGAGTGAGAGAATCCTCATCCAGACTCATGATGATAGTGTGTCCTAAACTGAGGACTATAATTAAACTGTAATCTCATCAGGTGAAGTACAGAAATAAAGCAGTAACATAAAAAATCCACCAAGGGGCTGGCCCGGTGGCGCACTGGATAGTGCACCGCTTGGGAAGCGCGGCGGCGCTCCCGCCCGAGGGTTCGGATCCCACATACGGACCGGTTCCCGCTCACTGGCTGAGCGAGGCACGGGAGCAACACCGAGGGTTGCAATCCCGTTGCCGGTCCCCGGTCCGGTACGGGGGCAACGCTGAGGGTTGCGATCCATTGCCGGACACGGAAAAAGACAAAGACAAAAAAAAAAATCCACCAAGGTTCTGAGGCATGGAGATAGGGAACGCAGTTGCAACTAGGAAAGCTGCCACTACCACCCCAGGGTCCTGCCAGGGTCCTGAGGTATGGAGCTGGGGGAAGCCGAACCCAGCTGCAACCAGGTAAAGAGCACAGCAAAACACCATTTCCACATGGGTAGCACACCATAGCCACTGTAACTGCCATGGCTGCCATGAAAGTGGCTAGTCTGTATAGCAGCAGTCACAGCCACTGTGCATATGGCACGCCAAACTCTCAACTGTATTCGCACAGGACAGCACCAGCACAAGCCACCAGAAAAAAAAAGTAAAAAAGAAAAAAGTCCTCTCTCTCCACAAAGCACACTCCAGAGTAACAGAAGTATCTGATTTACAATAATAGGGGAGAACCCGATCACACTTGTCTCAGTACTAGACAGATCATCTAGGCAACAAACCAACAGAGGAACAGTTAATCTATCAGATGGAGAGAATAAATCTATGGTTATTAGATGGGGGAGGGAGAGGGGGAAGGAAAGTGGAGGGAAGATTTGAGATTGGATAAGGGGCATAAAGAATAAGTATGATTTGTCATAATGAATATGCTAATAAAAATAAAAAATTAAGAACAATTTTTTAAAAATCAGGCAGGCAGAGAGACCCTAGTCAGTATGGAGTCACTCAAGCAATATCAGAAGGAAATGTCAGGAAGAGAGATTAATAATTTGCAGAAAACAATCACATTATTACATTGGGGAAAATAATCTGTCAGAAAAGGTGATTAATAATCTACAGATACTAATCTCCAGAATAACCTACAGACAATAAACACAGCGGAAAGGTAATCCCAAAGGTAAAGTGACAATGACCCCTTCTCTTCATCAGCTGGAAAAGAGGCACGTGGAATTGGGAAGAAGTCAGAAATCTCATGACAGTGCCTATGAAGAAAACAGGAAGAGAGCCAGGTAAGAAACGAAAAGGGACTAGAAGGAGTAGGAGTGTGTGACACATAGTAATTTTGAAAGAAAGCAGATCCATGAATGCCTAAATGTGCAGAAGGTATGGGAAAATAAGAATGTTAGAACGTAACCAAGACAGAAAGATTTTGAATGAGGCAAACTGGCACATGATCCAGGTTCCAAAAAGCCAGGGAAGAAGACAGACATGATAAAGGTCATCCAGGTAGAAGGCATTTAATTATCCGAGAGGCCAATATCAAAGATCCTTAAGCAATACAAAAAAATTTAGAATCTTCCACAAGAGTCATCTTAATAGTATTTCAAAGGTGCCTATCTTTCTCAGCAGAGATGAAATTTACTCCTCTGCCTCCCATGTATCTGGGTCACACTCACCTGGACATTTCTGATGTGGGCTCTCACTCTGCAACGACCATGGCTCCTTTCCTTGTTCCAACATGAAAACCTCTGTTTCACGAACTTGATAACCTATTCATGGGAAATAATAAGGAACAGGGTTCAGTTAATTACATTTCAGAGCCCAATCAATAAAGTCTTATTGTTCAATGAGGGTTTGCTCTTCAGAAAAGTAACCATATATCTCTGGGAACAGAGTAATTGATACAGAATATTCAAAAGAAATTAGGAATCTTGGACAAATTGAAGACAGAATCATCACTATTTAAGATGTCTCACAGCATTCATCAACTGAGAATGGAAACACTCTCAGTGAGGCTTCCTTTCAGACATCAAGGTGACTGTGCTTACCTACTGACAGTAGGTGGCTGTAGGTCTCCAGCATTACATCCCAGTAAAGGTTTCTCTGAGCAGTGTTCAGGTGCTGCCATTCCTCTGTGTTGAAATCTATAGCCACATCCCTGAAGGACACTGATCCCTGTAAGGGCACATTACCACTCAATGTGAATAGTTAGCTTTGGGGGACTAGAGAGACTTTACTTAGGAATATGGAATGTGGGTCTCATTGCTTTTTAATTTACCTCCTCTTTTAGAAACTCACCCTCAGAGAGTGATGTCAGCAAGAAGGCCAACTTAAAGTCCTAGCACTCATTCCCCAAGAAAGATTGCTTAAACAATGAATAAACAAGTATATTTCTATGAATATGACTAAAAGAGAGCACCAAAGGAGTAGCAGAAATCTTGTAGAGCACAGAAATCTAGAATGGCCACAAAAAGAATGGAAGGAAACATCTTGCCTGCATGCCAGTCAAGATCAGCCCTAAACCAGGAGAGACTTCTCTTTGTGGGGAAAAAGTAATCAAGAGAACCCACATCCCCAACAGCCCCCATAACTGCCTTAGACACCTAGAGTACTCACAACTGAGAACTGCAGTCCTCACAAGAGCTAAGCCCAGATGAAGGAGCTCCCTGGAACTCATGCAGGTGTACTCCCCTTGAGAAGAAGACAGCACTGTGCCTTGCACCCCATGGCCCTGGTAGCTACAATGCTTTGACAATTTGGATCTGGAACAACAGCTGGCATGTGTCCTGCTCTGGGGGCAAGTAGCCATGGCATCATTCCATCCATGAGGCTCATTGGTGCAGTCCACGCCATTGCAGGATCCTAAAGGAATCAGCTTGGGCTGCCCTCTCTGAGTTGGCAAGGCCGCCGGAGGGAGAGCTGTTGGCAAGGCCACAGCTATGAGCACTTGCTACAACCGTAAGGGCTACTGCCTCGGCTTCATGGTACTGCTTTTGCTTTCTCTTTCGATATTTTGGTTAGCGTGGCAGTTCTCTGAATTCCCAAAAGATTATAAAAATAACACAAATAATTATGCGGTCATTGAACTAAACATTCCCACAGAGGATCCGAGTAAATTGGACAATTTAAAATTATCCCCTTATGATAAATTGACCACACCAACATATGTTCCAAAAGCACCGCTCATGACTAAATATGAGCTGCAGCCTAATGTAAGTTGGCAAACATCATTTACTGGAGATTATATTAATGGCAAGAGAATGGTTGGTATTAATGGGAAATTATATGATTGGGATAAATTAAGTATATGGGAATGAAACCATAGAATTCCCTTTACTTGGTGGTGTCCAGTTTTAAATAAATCATTAAGAATTAGATATTGGGATAAAAATATATGCTGTAAAATTATTAAACCTGCAAAATTAGACCTAAGAGGTAAATGTAACTGGTTTTGTGAGGGATGGTGCTGTGCACAATGACACTTTGACATTTAGATCAAGATTACAGGGCCACAGCCAATGCATATCCTTAAAATGTGCATGATAATGCTGCTCAAATATCCACTGTTCTTTTTCCATATGAACAGTAGGTTCATTGCATTAGAACATAAAATCATTAGACCCCCATTAGAATTTAAATGTTAACATTTTTCCTTTTAGCAAAGTTGTATTTACATTTAAGAATAGATATAGGTTATCTAATACTTTGTAACCAAAATAGCAGCCACTCTGTTAATAGGGTGGACATTAACCACAGCTTGCTAACAGAAAAAGGTCACAAGATAACTTCAAGACAATGAAGGGATAGTTTTGACCTGATAACCTGATTCCACCAATCTGATAACCTGATTCCAGGAAAAGAAGCACGAGTTGATCACCTGAGACATGCTGACAAAAGGAAAGGACTGGCTGACATCTAAAAAAGTTTCCTCCCTGCTTTTTGGACTATTAATTTAAGCTTGCTGATACAATAAAAATAGTACCCAAAAACCCCCTGCAGAGAAAAATCTAAATAAAAGGCATTGTCACATGCTCTACTGGGCTCCAGCTGCAACATGCTGACAGCCCGCAGAGAGAGAACGTGCATATTGATGCACTGAGGTCTCCGTCTGTGTTTGTTATTTTCACTGACCCTCTCCATCCCTTTTCGGGTACCCACCCCTTGCTGAAGCTGGACTTCGGCAGCTCATCACCACTGAACCACCCATACCTGGTGGCCTGCTGTCACTAAGCCAAACTGCTGCTACATCCTACCCCCTGGGATCAAGCTGCTGCAGAGCCATGCCACCTGCCACTCCCAGTCCCTGTTGTGCCCTGCCCTCCAGGCCTGAGCTGAAGTGGTGCACTCCTGCTCAGGAGAGGACCCCAAAAAGCCTTGCTACCAAGGAACATAACAATCAATGCTGCCATCAGTGATGCCACAAAGTGCACAGAGGCTGTACCACACTGCACCTACTTGGAACCAGAGCTACCATACCCTTTCACAACTGTCATGCTAGGACCTACCTGCAGATGAAACTCATTACTTACCAAAGCCAATCTGTAGTTTGGCAGAGATGATTGCTCCACCAAATGTGCAGACATTAATGCATGGACACAAGACACATGAAAAAGGAAACATGACACTATCTAAGGAACAAAATAATCCTCCTGTAATTAAACCCAAAGAAATGGAGATCTATGAATTGCCTGAAAATGAATTCAAAATGATGTGGGTTTTTTGATTTGTTTGTTTTTTAATGAAACTGAGCAAGATATAAGAGAGTACAGATAATTAAAATTAAGGGGAAAAATTCATGAACAGAACCAGAAATTTGATAGAGACAGAAATCATAAAAAAGAACCAAACAAATTTTGGAGCTGAAGAACTCAGTGAATGAAAGGTAACATGTAGGGCCGGCCCGGTGGCACAATGGAGAGTGCGCCGCTTGGGAGCGCAGCGGCGCTCCCACCGAGGGTTCGGATCCCATTTGGAGACTGGTTCCCGCTCACTGGCTGAGCGCAGTGCGGGCGCGACACCGAGGGTTGCGATTCCGTTACCGGTCAGTAAAAAAAAAAAAAAAAGGTAAAATGTGACAGACAGCTTCAATAAGGACTAGATCAAGTAGAAGAAAGAATATTTGAACTGACAGTCCTTTTGAAATTAATCCAGTTGGGGGGGGAGGAGGCAAAGAATGAAAGAGAATGAAGACAGCCTATAGGACTTATGGTGCACCATTAAGCAAACATTCACATTATAGAACTTCCAGAAAGACAGAGACAAATATAAGAACAGAAAGCTTATATAGTGGAAGATATGCTGAAAACTTCCCAAGCCTTAGAAGAGATATGGACATCCAGATTCACAAAGATCAAAGGTTCCCAAACATATTCAATCCAAAGAGGTCTTCTTGGCACATATAGTAAAACTGTCAAAAGTCAAGGACAAAGAGAAAATTTTACAACTATAAAGAATAAACTGTCAAATTACATATAAGGCAATTCCTAATTAGACTACGAGTAGATTTCTCAGCAAAAACCTTGCAGGCTATAAGAGAATGGGATGATACATTCAAAGTGTTGATACAAAAAAACTGCCAGCCAAGAATAGTATATGCAGCAAAGCTTTCCTTCAGAAATGAAGGGGAAATATAGTCTTTCTCAGACAGGCAAAAGTTGAGGGAATTCATCATCACTAGACCTGCCTTATTAAAAATACTCAAGGGAGTTCTTCTAGTGGAAATGAAAGGATGCTAATTACTAGAATAACAGCATGGAAAGTAGAACATCCACTGGTAAAGGTAAATACACAGTCAAATCCAAACCACTCCCATATGTTACATTGATGTGTAAATCATATATATCTTTTATATAAAAGAATGAATGTCAAAACAGTCAGTAAAGTAAAGATAGCTACAATAAGTTGCTAAGATATATATTACATAAAAAGATATAAAGTGTGACATCAAAAATATACATAGTGGGCAGTAAGGTAAAACCATAGAGTTTTGTATACAACTTTTTGTAAAAAAAAAAAGTTAACATGATATTACAAGTATATAATAGTCTATTATAACATGTTTTATGAAGCCTCATTATAACCACAAAGCTAAAAACTATAGGAGATGCATAAACAATAAAGAGAAAGGAATCAAAATTTAACACTTCTGAAAATCACCAAATCACAAAAATAAACAAGAGAGGAGAAAAGGAACAAAGGTTGTAGAAAACAATTAACAAAATGGCAGTAGTAAGTCCTTAGCTATCAATATTTACTTTTTTTTTCTCTTTGGCAGCTGGCAGGTAAGGGGATCTGAACCCTTTACCTTGACATTATAACACTGTGCTCTAATCAACTGAGCTAACTGGCTAGCCCTCAGTAATTACTTTGAATCTCAATGGATTAAATTCTGCAATAAGAACACAGAGTATCTGAATGGATTTTTTAAAAAAAGATCCAACTATATACTGCCTACCAGAGACCCACTTTAGCCTTAAGGATACACAATGGCTGAAAGTAAAAGGATGGAAGAAGATATTCCATGCAAGGAGATATTCCATACAAATGATAACCAAGATAGAGCAGGGGTGTCTATATTTATATCAGATAAAGTAAATGTCAAGTCTAAAAATGTCAAAGAGATGAAGAAGGTCATTATTTAAGAATAAAGGGCCAAATTTATCAAGTGGAAATAGCAATTATAAATATTAATGCATATGACATCAAAGCACCTACATATATAAAGCAAATATTAATGTACATGAAGGGAGAAATAGATAATAATACAATAATAGTAGAGGAGTTCATACCCCACTTTCAATAATAGACAAATCAACTTGATAGATTAATATTGAAATTCAACCACACTTTAGACAAAATGGACTTAATAGATATATACAGAACTTTCCATTCAACAGCAGTAAAATACACATTCTTCTCTAGTGTGCATGGAACATTTCCAGGATAAACCACATAGTAGACCACTAGGCCACAAAACAAGTCTTCATAAATTTAAAAAGATCAAAATCACATCAACTATTGTTTATGACCACAATGGTATGAAACTAGAAATCAATAACAAGGAATTTTGAAAAATTCACAAATGTGGAAATTAAATAACATGCTCTTGAACAACAAATGGATGGAGAAAAAAATCAAAAGGGAAATTAAAATATACCTTAAGACAAACAACAATG